CCCGGCTGAGGCAGAGGCGTGAGCAGCGCCAGCAAGCGGGGCGCCGCGCTAGTGTCCGGTGCCGCGTCTGCAGCCCGGGGTCCTCACCCGGCTCCAGCGTGCAGAGCAGCCGGGGCGCGGTCCGGGAGATGCAGCTGCGCTTCTTGAGCACATTGCTCAGGATGGTGCCCACGCCGCCGCCGCCGCCGCCGCCGCCCTGCCGCTTCAGGCATCTCCCTCCGCGCCTCAGGGAGCCGGGCAGTTTGTCCTGCCGCATCCAGGGGCGCCCCGGGCTCCGGTGCAGCCACAGTCCACCTAGGCACCCGCTGCCCCGCCACCAGCTCAGAGGCTTCTGGGGAGGCTGGGACGAGGGTCCCTCGGGAATGGCGTGAGTGCCGCCAGTGCTCGGGGCTGGAGGGGACCTGCGGGGCACCGCCGGAGCCGACGAGCGCCAGGCGGCCAGCAGGCATCTGCAGTGCGGAGCCAGAGCCGCAGGGCTGAGGCTGGAGAGGGCTTGGGGCGGGGAGGAGGGCGGGAGCGCGCAGGAGAGAAGGCGGCGCTCCCGCCCCCAGTGCTGGCATCACTGCGCGCGGAAGGGGAGGCTCTAGGGCCCGGGAGCAGCCGAGCTGCGGAGCCCGGAAACCCCGAGCGGGCGGGTGAGCAACCGCGCTCAGGAACCAGAAGCGGCAACAGAGATTTCCGAGCTTCTCGCAAAGTCTGGGAGGGGATGGAGTGGGCACCAAAGGGAGCGAGTCTCCGGTGCAGAACACCAGTGAGATGCAAGTGCCCCCTTCACTGAGCAGCGTCGGAACGGAGGTCATCCAGAGGCTGGCACATGGCGAAGCCCGAGCTTCATCCCAAATTGTTTTGAACTCTTTCCTGGCAGCTTAGAGAGGCACAGCGAGCACACTTAAAAAATGGTAATAATAGCCCTAACCGGTTTGGCTCAGTGGATAGAGTGTTGGCCTGCGGACTTAAAGGTCCCAGGTTTGATTCCGGTCAAGGGCATGTACCTTGGTTGCAGGCACATCCCCAGTGCGGGGTGTGCAGGAGGCAGCTGATCAATGTTTTTTCTCTCTTATCGATGTTTCTAACTCTCTATCCCTCTCCCTTCCTCTCTGTAAAAAAATCAATAAAATAAAAAAAAGAATATATAGGAGATATTTATAGAAGATATTTATTCATAACACATATCAATTACTTTTATTTTATGGCATTCTTGAAGCCGTATTTTCTATACATGCGGACTGAAGGGGGTCCTGTTTGATTCTGGTCAAGGGCACATGCCCTGGTTGCGAGCTTGATCCTCAGTAGGGGACGTGCAGGAGGCAGCCAATCAATGATTCCCTCTCATCATTGATGTTTCTATTTCTCTCTCCCTCTCCCTTCCTCTCTGAAATCAGTAAAAAATATATATAAAAAAAAAAAAGAATGAAGAATGAGGAAGGAAAGGATGTGGGGGGAAATACAAATACATTTGTATTTGCTAACATTAAAAAAAGGAACACTAGGTGGATAAATCAAAAACTAATTTAAAGAATATTTATGTGGGATATATCTGATAAAGGGTTAATATCCAAAATTTATAAAGCACTCATACAACTCAACACCAAAAAAACGCCCACAAATAATGCAAGTTAAAAATGGCTGCAGGACTTGAATAGACACTCTCCAAAGAGGATATACAGATGGCCAATAGACATATGAAAAGATGCTCCAAGTCACTAATCATCAGAGAAATGAAAATTAAAGCCACAGTGCGATCTCCTCCCACCTGTCAGAATGGCCATCATCAATAAATCAACAAGTGTGGAGAGGATGTGGAGAAAAGGGAAGCCTGGTGCACTGTTGCTGGGAATGCAGCCACTATGGAAAACAGAATGAAGGTTCCTTGAAAAATAAAAAATGGAACTGCCTTATGACCCAGCAATTCCACTTCTTGGTATATATCCAGAGAAACCCAAAACACTAATTTGAAAGACTATGTACACCTCCGTATTCACTGCAACATTATTTACAATAGCCAAGATATGGAAGGAACCCTAGTGCCCATCCATAGACGAGTGGATGAAAAAGCTGTGCTACATACATGCAATGGAATATCACTCAGCCAGAAAAAGAAATGAAATCTTACTATTTGTGAGAGCATGAAACCTAGATGGTATCATGCTAAGCGAATTGGGTGAGAGCAAGACAAATACCATATGATTTTACTTGTGTTTATAATCTAAAGAGCAAAATAAATTAACGAAATAGAAACAGACTCATAAATACAGAGAACAGTCTGATGGTTGCCAGAGCATGAATGGATTAAAAACTACAAATTGGTAGTTACAAAATATTCATGGGGATATAAAATACAGCATAAGGGAATGTAGTCAATAATATTGTAATAATTATATTTGGTGCAAGGTGGGTACTTGAAACATCAGGGGACCACTTTATATAGAATATGATTAACCACTATGCTGTATACCTGAAACTAATACAAAATAATTTTGAATGTAAACTTATTTGAAAAATAAAAATTTTTAAAAAGACCATTTCTGTGGGAGAGAACAGTGTGGTCATAAGAGACAAGAATGGAAAACTGAACCTTCTCTGGATGTGCCTTACATAACATAGCTTTGACTCAAGTTATATTAATAAAATAAATAAAAGAAACCCCTAAAAATTGGAAATGAATGAACTCAATGGGATATTTCTTTCATGACATAAAAACACAGAAAAAAGAAGTTGCTTTAGAAGACAATGTTACGACTGAACATGAATGGTGATTCCAAAACAAATAGAACTGCAACAAAGTCTTACATTTCATTCAGTAGTATTCTTGTCATTGGTAATATTGGAGTTATTTTTTAATTCTTTTTTTAAATTTTATTTATTTTTTACAGAGAGGAAGGGAGAGGAGAGAGTTAGAAACATAGATGAGAGAAACATCGACCAGCTGCCTCCTGCACACCTCCTACTGGGGATGTGCCCGCAACCAAGGTACATGCCCTTGACCGGAATTGAACTTGGGACCTTTCAGTCCATAGGCCAACGCTCTATCCACTGAGCCAAACAGGTTAGGGCTATTTTTTTTATTCTTATATATATCATAGACAAAGCAAATAATTATGGTAATGTCAAAAGGAACCAAGATGTTTTCAGTGTAACAGAAAATACAAGCGTACCAAAAAAAGTTTTTCTTAAATCTTTTCAAAAATACATATGTATCCACAGATAGGTTTAAAAGTTAGGACAACCAAGCAGCTATGAACACCCACAGCACCCAGGTTGTGGCCTCAAAAACAATTCCCCACTAAAAAGAACCAAGGGCTCTTTGGAAGCGTGACCGATCCCAGATCTGGGCCAGAGAAAGTGCAAGATGAGCCTGAAACATCTTGATGAGCTCAGAAAGGAAGCAAGTGCTCCAAAACTAATGGGGTCATCTCAAAAGGACACAAGGAGCCGCATGCATAGGCTTCTGTTGGCCAAGGATGGAACAATTTTGAGCATCAAAACCAATGGCTGTTATTGATTGAAAAGTGTTGAATATTTTTTAAATGTATTCCTAATGATACTCTGAAAGAGCTAAAAAAAATTAATAAATAAAGAAGTCATTCTAATAACACTGGCACACTTATTTTGTAATCGGTACATTCTGGGTTTTGTGAAGTGACCCCAGAATTTAAGGACAGTGTCAGAAATGATACAACCCTAAGCACGGAATGTACATTTCATATATAAGAATCTGTTAAAGTGAGATTAGTCACCGCAGAAATAAATCAGGTGGATAAGGGACGTGTAAACTACTCAGTTCTGCCTGCCCGAGGTAAAGATGCTTTGAAAAAGGCAGCGCTCTGCCTCATCATTTCAGAAGATGAAGTCATCGTTTAACTTGGTCGTGACTAACTGGTATAGGTTCCACACCACACTCACATGGAGAAATCTATCCTTCATCAGCGTGATTATTTTTTAAAATTTATTTTTGATTTCAGAGAGGGAGAGAGATAGAAACATCAATGATGAGAATCATTGATCAGCTACCTCCTGCGTGCCCCCTACTGAGGATTGAGCCCACCACCCGGGCATATGCCCTGACCTGGAATCAAACCGTGACCTCCTAGTTCATAGGTCGATGCTCTCAACCACTGAGCCATACTGGCCGGCCAGGTTTGGTACATGTTTGCTTCCCGTTAGCTTTCTCCTCATTTTAATAAGATGTCCATTCATTCTTCTGGTCCATCTCAATAATAGAAAGAGGTCTGGTGCTTGGCTTTGGCCAATTTTTTACAAGGCACAGGAGGCCCCTGGGGTGAAGAGGGTGATGAACACCCAGAATCAGACAGAAAACTGGAAGGAGAGGTGGAATTCTGGAAAACAAGCTGGTAACTCCTAGCACAGTCTCGTCTTCCCGAGTTCTCATCTGCTCAAACCTCAGAGGGTTTGTGTTCTATTTTAACAAGAGAGGCTATTCACGCCCAGCTGCCTGCACTGGGCCAGCAGGAAAGACAGCCTTGCCGGCCAAGAGGAGGAGCCGGGCCCTCTGCTCTCCAACACTGCCTCTGGGGAGCAGGCGCGGACATCCGGCTCCCAAGGCTGGCTGACATGCCACTCAGACCATCTGGTCCCTTTGGCTCTGACTCCATGCCCATCGTGCAGACTTTTGATTGTCATTTCACTTCCCATAGAAACTTTGCCTCAGAGGAGGGAAACATACTCACCAGTTAACAGTAGTCAATAACCCCGAGTTCACTCAACTCTCAGTGAGCTGAGGAAATGGAATTCCGGGACGGCCAAAGCCAAAGTCCTGGACCTAGCCTGCTAGCCCACTCAGACATGTCATCACTGACAGCAGGGCCTCTCAGTTCCACTTTTTACTAGTAGTCACAAGCTTGTTCTATTTCACCTCTCTTAGATTTATTATAAGCAAAAACTGACTCGTTTTTCTTTTTAAAAAATAAATAAAGCTTCCTTAAAAATGTCCCATTCTAAACTTACACAGAAGTTGAAACTAGAAAATAAAGTTTTAAAGAGTTTCTATTATTATAGCAATAACTAGCCGGGGAATTACATAATATTATTTTGTTTACATTAGAGAGGAAAACCAAGACTGCCAACATTTATAGCAAACATAATTAAATGGGCACTAAAATACAATGCTCTAAAAGCAGCCGTGGCACAAGCCTACTATTATAGTTATTGTGTGAGTCATGGTTTCTTAATCATGTCTGGAATATTGTTTTTCAAATAGCAAAAGATGTCACCGGCCGTCGGCCTACAGAGGAAACAAGGCCGGCGTGGATGCTGCTTGAGGACCACAGCGGGTGAGATTGCCCCCAAATCCACCTTACCATCACTACTTACTGATCAAGTGATTGTTACTCATCAAATAGTATCAGTGAGTTCGCATTTGGGCAAAACGGTACCTTGGTCTGGCCCCAAACAATTACGTTTTAAGCTGAATTTGGGGAAAAGAAGGCTCAGTGAAAACTTCACATGGGGTGTGAATGACTCGGATTGCTAAAGAAAATGAGTGTTTTGAGAAAATGC